CCATATTGTATGTTACATTACATATCTGACAGGTATTGCACTCAACTGGCCCTACCTGTTTCACAGATAAAAGAAACTGGTTGACTATCCATTCTTCTTGAAGATAGTATGCATGTATTAATATAAAACAGTCATGATGCTGGCAGTTAAAAAAATGTACAGAAAAATGAACACGTTACCATAGGATGGTTTTTCAAGGATTTTCCTTTCGTTTTCCACTGGTTTTAAGCTTTTTGTTGATACTGGATTTCTAAGACAAGGACATGGCTGAATATGAAGAAACACTGCTCAGCTGGAAGCAACACCATCAAATATAAATTCCTCTGCCAGAATGCAGAGAAAGAAGAGGACTGTGACAAATGTGTAGTGCTCCTTTTAAGCCGATTGGAGATTTTATTTCTAAAATAGGCTTCTGAATGTCTCAGGAAGTCTCACTCCACCACTCTGGTTGGTAAAGGAAAGGTTACAGACTGAAGACAGAAAGCAAAGCCCTAGACTGCTACAGATTCATCTTCCTAGTGACATAACAGGCACTGACCACAGAGCAGCTTTTGTATCCTTGCTATCCACATTTGGAATCTATTTATATTTCTTCAACAAAGCCAGTCTTGATTCCTTTAACTTCATTACTGCTATCCCCTGCTTCCCTGAAGAGACAGCAATTTGGAGAAAGAGTCAAACAGAAGTGATTATATGCACTGAGAATAGAGGCAGGTGCATAAGAGTTTTTATTTTAGTAGTAGGGTTTTATCCTGACAATGACACCTGCAGAATAAAATTTAGGTATTTATCTGCTTCTGGGTATGTCAGAGTACCTCAGGTAGACTTAGCCTATAGAAATCATAGTCTAGGGCTGCTCAAAGTCAGAAATGGAAGAAAAGAGCTCATTTATTAACCAGGACTAATAATAATGGTACACAGTATGTTCGTATATCACGGAATTCACATATAATGAAAATAAACAAATTTTACATTACTAGCAACTTTTTTTTTCTCCAGCAGGAAAAAGGAGAACAGGATTTCTTTGTCTATTTTATTGAAATAAAGAAATATTGTTGAAACACTTATAAATGTCTAGATCAACATCAGTAACACTTTCCAAATACCATCCATACACAGTTCTATTTTTAATGTTGGACTGTTCTTGAAAGGTGCTAAGAAAAAGATTTATTCATAACACATAAAGTTATATCCTAACTGTGCATTCCCTTCCATTTGGGAGAGAATCCAAAATGTCGGCAAAATAGAACTATTTCAAAATTTTAAGAGCACCCAAATCCTACCTTTTAATCTTCTTCCAAAACTAACATTTAAGGATCAAATCCTGCAAACTTGATCTCACAAGAAATTCATCAGAATGCAAATAAATTCTTTCAATTCTGCAAACAGGCTCAATAAATACATACCCTCTAGTGATTAAAGGTTTCCCATTCAAACATCACATTTTATTTCAGTGTACAATGTTAACATAACTGTTTTGAATCAGCCTTTTCCCTAGGAAGTCTATTTTCAGGAATGCAGAAAAGTAATTTTTCCAAAAATCTAGGTAAATATATCATGTATTTATATATTTAATAAAAATTTTATTAACTCTTAGGAGCAGAATAACTAATTACAGAGAATCTTCTGTTACAGAACACTTTAATCTGGTAATCCACCATTTCCAAACCAGAGCATGTGCTGTGCTGCCTCACAAATTACCCAGGGTTCTATGGCTTTGTTTTCTCAGACTGCGCACACATCTTTTATCTGTAAAAACTCCATAGAACAGCTTTTCTAAAGCCTAGCACAGCTGTAAAATTCTGCAGCTGGTCTTGTAAAGTTATTTTACCTGTTGCATGGACCATGAGCCACTTGTGTCTCAATTAGGGAAAATATTTGTTTTACTTTATTTTTCTCTTCAGTCAAATTCATTAAAACACGTTTTTGATTGCTTCTTTATGTACTCTTATGCTGATTCCTCAAAGTCTCCTATTGTTTTAGTTATTAAACTTATATCATCAAAATACTGTAATTTGGCACTTCTGTACTTAGTTATACCCAGAACAGCACTGAAAACCTACTTCACTAATTTTGCTCCCCAATTTCCACAAATGCAATAAATAGTGCTATAAAAATCAGCTCTGCTGTAACTTCCATAAAAGAGCATCTGACACACACACAAACATACAAAAATAGAACAAGCCCAGGAACTGCAGTCCTGTGTCAGAAAAAATTCCTGATAACTATCAACACTTTTAAGTTTAAGAAAAATGGCACTAATTTTTTTTGCTGTCTGTTCTTCACCTCTATATCATCCCAAACCTGAGGTTACAGTGTATATTATTCTGTATCCTGTAGTGATGAGACACTTGCAGGATGCATTATCATGTAGTGACTATTTGTTTCAGCTCTGTTTTCAAGGCTGAGAGAAAAACTTGGATTGGTGCTGACAGGGCACCCCAGCCAAGCAGTTACAAGAAGTAATTGGGCAGCAAGCCTGAATGGTCTTTTCATTGCCTTTATTTAAAATTATATTGGTGAGGGATTATTTCCCTCCTGTTTTACTTGGTACACAATTTTACATGACACATCTCTTCAGCAAGTAGTAACAAAATACTGTGTTTCCAAGGGAACCAAGAGGGAGCATTGCCATGGGGCCTGAGGCAGGGTGAGCGTGCTGTGGCTGCAGTCACCAACGCCACTCCCAAGGGCTGCTCATGTTGAGACACCAGCTCAGCTCCAAAGAGGCACAAGGAAGAGAAAAAAGCAGAGGATACCATTACTGAGATTCCTGCTCTGTGAGACACCTCACAGCTGGTCCAGGAGCCCCAGGAGAAGAGGCTAGAGCAGATTTCAGAGAGTTTAGACCTCACTCTGCACCACCCTCCCTCCCAGCCTGAGCCCTTCCCAAGCTCCTGCAAGGACACAACCATGGTAAATCGGGTATAGATCAAAACTTTTCCTTCTAAGAGGAATATACCTTTTTTGATTAAGATATTACCTTGAAAAATTAAAGTTTTGCCATCCTGGCCTTTCCCTCTTCCTCCATCTATACATTCATAAGTGATACTTTATATTTTAGTCATCAATGCCAAAGTATATTTTAGCTGATATTTGTAAATGCTCTCATGATTACCACTGTAAAGGCATGAGATAACCAGACATTAATTAGAAGAACCTGACATACTGATTAAAAAAACCTCAAAAACAAACAAACAAACAAACAAACAATCAACCCCCCCCCCAAAACACACAAGAAACCCAACATTGCAGGAAAAGGAAACCCATTTGAGCTGTGTTTCACTCATCTTAAAACCTCGTGAATTTTGAATTAACATCTTTATCTTACTGCTCAAAGAATGCATTTCTCTCAAGCTTCCCAACTCTCTTCTGGTCAAAAAGATTAAGCTTCACCATCAGTGTGATGTTCAAATGTAGTTTTCTACTTCATTTGAACATATGTATTGCATCAGTCTGTTAAACCCCAAATCTTATGCAATACAGAGAATCAGGGGTTTAATGCCCATCCAGCTCATAAGAGATACTGTTACTCAACAATTAATGCATAAGGAATTTCTCTTGTATGAAGTAAAGTACATTTTATCATCAACCTACTAAAGAAAATTAATGAAAATCTGTGGAAGTAAGTTTTTCAAATAAAATTGCTTTAATGAAAATAGACATAAGAAAAACTCTGTATGACACTTTTGGCAGGTGGATCTCCAATTAAATAGTTGTCTATGACAATGATGGTTTAAAAACAACACTGATTTATTTTCCCTACCAAAGAAGATGTATCTATTAATAAAACTGTTCTTCAGCCAATTTAGTTCCTGCGTATCAATTTCTTTCCACATGGATAGAGAAGTGTAGTGAGCCCCATATCAGTAAGGCACAAGAAGAAGCTTAACTTTAAGCACGTGTGGAATCCATTTTGAACTCCATGTTTAATGGGTTTTCTTTAACAGAGCTCTAATTCACTGAAATCAATAGATTTACTGCAGACATACTGAAGGCTGAGAGCAGAGATTAACCAAAATATATAGGTTATTTCTAAAGGCTAAGTATATATTCTCTGTGTGCACATATTAAGGGATAAAATCCTGAGCAAATGCCCTCCCCTGGCACCAGGGGGAAAAAGGAAAGGCTGAAGCTTTCTTGAACCTCCCCGCCCAATTCCTACCTGCCTGTTATCAGGTTATGTCTGATCTGCCCTTCTAATTTCAAAACAATGCTACAAGACCTTTCCTTCTAATTCCTTGTAGCAGTTTCGTTTGAGAAGCTGTGTGTTAAGCCATTTTGACACCATTTTCAAATACACAATTTCCACCCAATCAATCACAAATTCTGGAAGTATCCTCACCCTCTGCTTGACAGACTATAAAACCAATGCAAAAAACCCAACTAAAACACCCCCCAAAACCCAAAACAAAACCAAAATTCCAACCAACCGGCTAGACCCTGCTTTTACTGTTGTAAAAGTCACCTTCTCTCCTAGCCTTCGTCCCTCTTCACCTGGAATTTAAGATTCCTTTTTATTAAAGTGTGTTGATTTGGCACAGCCTGGTTTTTTGATAGCAGGGGGTCACAGGGGTAGCTTCTGTGAGAAGCCCCTGGAAGCTTCCACCACGTCCGACAGAGCCAATCTCTGATGGCTCTGACGATGGACGTGCTGCTGGCCCAGTTACAGAGGCTGGTAATGCCTCTGTGACGACAGATTTAAGAAGAAAATCCCAAGAGCACACGGGCAGTTTTTCCCAGGGCTGGCGAGGCGCCGCTGCCGGGGCCATCCCGGCACAGCCCGCGGCAATGTGCCGCCGCAGCCGCCGCCATCTCGGAGCGGCTGCAGCGAGCCTCGCCTGCCGGGCCGGCCCAGCCAGCCCCGCTGCGGCGCCGGGGCACGGCCGGCGGGGCAGGGCCAACAGGGCCGGGCCCGCAGCTTCTCCTTCCCGGTGCCCTGCCCGAGCACAGGCGTTAAACAGCGCCAGCGCCGCGGCCGCCACCTCTGCCCGCACAGTGACAGCGGGGCCGCCCGGCCGGCAGCAAAAACGTGGCGGGAGAGTCCCCAACGCCGAACCTAAATGAGATCAACCCCTCAGTGCTGCGGGACCCTGCAGGAATCTCTGAACTGCTGGAACTTGTTGGCAGTGGTACCGACAGGCAGCAGTTTTTCTTCTAGACAGAGAAGAGGAGGAGGTGAGGCCATGCAAGGGAATTTAACACGGCAGCACCAAGGTCAGAGCAGAAGGAGGGGCAGGCGGTGCTCCAGGCACCGGAGCCGAGATTCCTCTGCAGGCCGTGGTGAGGAGCGTGGTGAAGCAGCTGCGCCCCTGCAGCCCATGGGGACCCACGGGGGATGCACAAATCCACCCACAGCCCGTGGGAGAAGAGCTCGGGCTGGAGCAGGTGGATGCCAGAGAAAGCTGTGATCCAGTGAGAGACCCGAATGGACAGAGAGGGCCCCTGCTTCCAAACGAGAGCAGCCTGTCCTTAGAGAACTGCACCCTGAGGATAATTGACCCACGGCACAGCAGTTTTGGGAAGACTGTTTGCCCGTGGGAGGGACCCCACAGCAGAGCAGAGACTCCTGTCCCTGAACAAACAGATCTCGAACTGACCAAAACCCCACTCCCTGTCTCCCTGCACTATCGGTGGGAAAGAGGGAGTGGCTGGAATGAAAAAGGTGCTTTAAAGGCTTATTTTACTTCTCATTATCCTCCTCTGACTCTGTTAGTAATAAATTTATTTTATACCTTTAAATTTTAACATATTTTGCCCTTAGAGTGTTTTCTCCCAGTCTTTACCTCAACACGTGAGCCCTTTGTTAATTTTTTCCTCTCTCTTCTGGCCAGCTGTAGTAAGAGAGAGAGAGAAAACGCTTTCATGGGTACCTGGCATTTGGCCAGCGTCAAACCACAACAGAGGGACAGGATTCTATTGCATTGCAAGCACTGCTCAAGAATGCAGCTTTTGGGAAGAACATAAAAAATAGTGAAAGTGCCTCTCAAATTCAAATCTCAGCCAAACATCCCAAAAGGATGCCATTCCCAAATCTTTGCTTAATAATCCTACCCCTCCTACCTTCTCTACTTGTCTCTAATCCTCCAAAATTCACATGCTTGTAGAAGTAAACCACTGTAAGGAGCACCATTTATTTTACAAGGATGCTGCACTGTAACATGGAGGCATGTCTTGAAATTCAGTTTCACCCACATACTGCATTCAAAGCCTTTTTAGAATTTCATACACAGAATGTATGAAATACAGGTAAACATGTAAGAACATATTCACGGAATGTGATCTGAATAAAATGGAATAAATTTCAATACAAGAGTGTTCAAAGATATAAATATGCAAGTAGTACAAGCTGCAATTCGTAGCTTTTTGAGTTAAACTCATTTTTCTTCAGATCCCCACTCAAATATCACTTTCATCATCAGGCATTCAGACTTGATGAGAAGATGAGGGAACATAAAACTTTAACTGACATTCTTCACTGATTTGGTAGAATCAGCTCATGCAAATTACTGATTTCTGTAATAACTATTTTTACCAGTCTCACCTTTTGTCTACCTTGGTCTTCTTGTGTAAAGATCATGCCTTCCCAGCCTGCATGAAAAGGACTCCCCGAATTGATCTACCAACACCAAATCAATTTTACAAGTATCAGTATAGGTAAAATTTTTTATTTTCTATAAAAAATAAATTAGCATTTATTTCTTGACCACACTTTAAAGGATTTCTGCTATCATGCCTTATATAGTAATACTTTTGACATGAGCACTACATTTTAATATGATCTAGAAGTTAAAGCTTTCTGAAAAATTGTTTTTAAAATAGAATATTTTGTTCAAATTAATCAGTTGCAGCAAAATTTCTTTAGTAAAAAGCTTGCAGGTAAAGAACAAAATTTTCACCATTTGAGGTAACCTGGAATAGCAAGCAGTTTGAGACTTTGTCTCAAATCTCTTCTGTTTCAAAACATAGATGAGAGTGCATTAGACATATCCCTTGCCCAATCCATAGGCATTGTCCAGAAGGAAACATTCTATGAGCAGTTGCTTTATTTTGTTCTTAAAGTCTCATATTGATCCTGACATAGAAAGAGAGCTATTTGGATTTCTTAAATATTTTTTAAGATAAAATTTTTGTTTCCCATCTTCACCTAGTTCTAACTAAATCAGATCCTTGGAACTAACAGAATTATTTTGTAAGTGTGTATTTTTATTTTATAAGCATGCTTTGCTGATGTATACTCCAGTGTTTCTTTTTCATAAATTAGAGTGTACCCACTGCAACCTCATTTAAGTAATTTTTTTTTCTTGGCTTTTATTTGAAGTACTTGAATGAAGAAAATGGTAGTGCCCCAGCATTCAGTGACCTATAGGTTTTGAATTACGAAAAGGAGCTCAGTCTGGAACACTGTTACAATTGTCAGAAATGTACGCAAAGGTCTTCCCTGAGAGCATAAGAGTGGTTCAGGAAGTAAGTTGTTCAAGAAGTAGGAAAACTGATAAGCCATTAGGGCATGCAGAATTATCTGCATCCATAAAGAATGTAAACTGTGAAATTCTGGCAGTTCCTATGCAGAGTATAAGAAATAGTTTCATTCTGTAAGTTTGCTTGACCATGCTGTACAGGATGCTGTAACAACAATATCTGTGTGCCTGTTTTAATAGCCCCTATCATTGCAGAGAAAAACAGAGAGAAATGTTCAGGAGACAAGGTAAGGAAGTACATATATTTTTAATCTTTAGGTATTCAAGGTCTTATTCATGACATATTAAATTAGGCACATCTCAACTGTGTCATAAACCTAAACTATTTAGGCTGAATGGGCTGCTGGTGCAGCTTTAAAGAAACCTCAACAAAATCTGACTTACCTGGAAAATGACTGTGAAGTGTTCACTTACTGCAGCTGACCTTATTTTGACCAGTCAGATGAATCCAAATGCTAACATTACATAGTGTCCTTAGGATACAAGAGTATAAACAGTCTTCTCATCACCACCAAGAATGAAAACACAGCCCATGCAACTTAAGCTTCTGCAATTTATGTTCTCTATAAAGACTGTGTAATCCCCATGTAACTGCTAAGTATAACAGAGCATTTGACAGTCAACCTGAAACCCATTACTGGGAGCTCTGGGAGAGAAACCATTAATATGACCAGGTTTTCATACCCACTATCTACTCAATTGAGTAAAATGTATCCCGAGGAAATCTTAAATATAGCCTATTTTTTCCAGGAATGGCATCTCAACAGAGAGGTAGGGAGAATGTAGACTGGGAGGAAGATTAACACCAATTAAAATTCCTCAAGCTTTTGAAATTTTTGCTTCTTCCAGAAAGAAGTTGCTGTAGCTTTTGAGCTCATCAGTTCAGTACAGAAAGGTCATCAGGAACACTGAACCAGTCCTACTAAATACTCCTGCTCAGTGCTTAAGTGCTGTTTTGATCAGTTCTTGCAATGAGGCTGAACTCTGCAAGCACAGGTCTGGGTATCTGTTATTTCTTCTGATCAATTATACATTTAGAGAACTGCAAAGACAAGATTACTGTAAGTTTATACTGTAAGAATAACAAAAGGATAAGGGGCCTTTAACCCCAAACATACCACCTTGAACTCAGAGGCACCATTTCCACACTTTTGATGGTTTGTCTGTAAGAAAACCTGCCTTTAACTGAACTGGATGTCACACAATGTTGAAATATTTGCAGGTATGTTAAATGTCTTTGCTTCTCATAAAGGATTTCAGGCTCTTAATTTTCTCAGAGTATAAAAGTCTATTTTTCTTTTTTTGCTAGTGTTTCTTTCTACATGTTGCTGTATGCATGTGGCTCCCTTTCCCAAGCACAGTACAATATAACAGGATAAATGTGCAAGTCACTTTCTTCTACTAAGATTCTGATTAATGTTTTGAGGACAAAGATATGCTGAACCCTAACAAGGCAAGAGCTGTATTATTGGATTTCAGACTTTTTTTGAAGCAAGTGTTCAAGTCCAGGTTTTACAGGACTTGGAGCAACCTGGCCTAGTGGAAGATGTCTCTACCCATGGCAAGGAAATTGGAATGAGATAATCTGTAAAGTCCCTTAGAACCCAAACAGTTCTGTCATTCTGTTATTCCTAGAAGATGATTAAGAGGTGACACTGCACACATTAATGACTTAGAAATTGGAGAAGCTCTAATGTCACACTTTGGAAAAAGAAGACTTAAAGAATATGATAAACAGAATCTGTTTAACCTTAAAAGTACAAAAATGATACAATTAATTTAGTTTTAATTAGTATCTGACTTTCAGCATTACAATAGCAGAGCAGTACCAGTGGAGAACTCTGCAATGAGATTAGCCCGTTAGAGGACCCCAGAAATTAAATAATTAAATATTAACTTAACATGCATTTTAATGTTTTACTGTTTTACATTATTTACTGTATAACAGGCAAAGAATAAAATTAATGAGAACTTTTCAATACTGGTAAAATCTCAATACATGCAGAAAGAACTGAAATGATGGTTATATACCTCTAAACCCCAAAAGAAACTATGTTAGGTTATAAATTTGAATAACACAGGTAATTTAAAGGATTTCCTGATATTTTTTTAAAAAGCAAAAACCCCAAATAGCAAAAAAGAAAATGCCCCCCCCCCATACACACTCTTGAGGGTTTTTTAATTAATCCCAGCCTAACAAATATAGCATCTTCCTGGCAAAATGCACCTCCTAAAAATGTTTATTATGCTATGTTGCGTAAAAAAAGAAATCATAAGTGCTCTGTTTCTGAAGCTGATGATTACCTTCTAAACTTTTGCATTTTACACAGATTAGAAATTAAAATCTCCTTGCCCAGAATGGGCAGACTTGAGAGAAACAGTGCTTTAGCCTACCATAAATTATCAAAATCCAGTTAACAAATAGTACCCAAAAGAATTGTAAAAGATATCAGATTGTTTAAAATTCAGATATGCTGGAAATTTACATTCTGAAATGAGTGGTGCAAGCAAAAACATCACCAGGGAGTTCACAGAGAGTGCACACATTAATGATGCAAACGTGGTCAGAGGGAGCTCTGGGTGGGTTTCACTGTCTCTTAAGGAAAGGGAAGCATGGGTGGTGTCTGACTGTCCACCAGAAGCCTGCACAATACCAGCTTCATCTGATAGCTCTCCTGGAACACACTTTTTTCTCCATGGAAAGAACTGAACATACACTTCTAACAGTCTCAGTGATTTAGACTGTGGAAAGAAAAGACTAAACTTTCAACTCAAAACAGGTGTATACTCATATATATTCATATATTCAAAGCCCCACAGGATGATGGTCTCCATTTTCCTAAAAAAAACCCAAAAACATTTCCTTTTGGCAGAAAATACTGATTCACTGGAACTCAGTTTATTTTCTATACTTTTTTTTTCTCCTGAAAAACACATATTTAGTGATAATGTTGGCAAAGTTTTTTC